TTTGTATTTTAAATTCTAGGGAAGACTGCCCTTTTGAGCAATGACTCAGAATCTCTCAGCTAGAGTAGTGGACATTTTCCTTGCTCCTGCAGCTGATATCCAAAATGCTTCTCCTGTAGGGGTTCTGTCCGTGTGGTGTGTGTTCATAGCAGGGGCCAGGATCTACCCCCTTGGTGAGAAGGAACATAGTGCTGCTCCGTGTCTCCTGGAAGCAGCACTAGAGGATGAGACTTGGCTCATCCAATGGGCTACTTCACTAGGACTTTAAATCTATGTCAAGGGATATGAAGAGAAACGTGTGAATGGCAATGGATGCTCACAAAGCAGTCCAGTGGCCACAGCCCCAGCAGAGCCCTGAAGCCAGCTTCACCCAACTTGATAAAGGATCTTTGGTTTCCATAACCATGTCCTCCCAGTTTTTCCTCCAAGTTTTCCTATCAACTTCTGAAATACCTAGTGTTCCTAGGTATTTCTTTCTTTTCTGTTTTACCTTAGAGTAAGAGACCCTTTGTTTCTCATGCTTAAACTCTAGGTAATAAATTCAGATGAAATTCCTCCTGTTTTAAAGGGCCATGTATTAAGTTAGTGGAAAAAATAATGGATATAAGAAAATCAAATTCCCTTCAGACATTTGTTGATTGCCTGATTTATTCCACATGGCTAACAGGCATGGCAGGGGAAATGATGAAAAAGAATGATCCTTGCTTTTGCAGGACACACAAAGCTGAAACAGACACAGTTTTAAACAGAAAATTGTAATGCCATGAGAACGAGTAGAATTAGAGGTTTGTAGGGAGAGCAGAGGGGACTCCTCCCCATCAGGACCTGCTTTGCATGATCACTTATGTAACTACGGATGGCAAAATTAGAAAATCTGTTGGAAAAAGTGGCATGCACCAAAACTATTAACCATTAATGTCTACTCTCCTAGGTACTGTTTTACCCTGATAATAAATTCTTTCTATTATGCCACTGTGTGGCATAAAACTCTGTTTACTCAGAGCCCTTCCATCTCAGCAAAGCAAAACTATGCTGAGCTCCCAGTATTCCCCAACAACCCAACATGTTACCCAGGCAATGTTTCCGGTCTCGCTCTCTCTCACAGTCAAGCTTCCTCCTTTGTGCAAACAAGGATGAGGGGTTGGCTTTGTGATGCTGTGGCTTAGGGTGCCTTCCCAATGCCAGCATTCCATATCGGAGTGCTAGCATGAGTCTTACCTGTACTGCTTTGCAGCAGGCTCCCTAAAAATACACTTCAAAAGTAGCCAAAGATGCTGCATGTAGCTGTGCTCCCATCACCCATATGGAGGACTTGGGTGGAGTTCCCGTGTCCTGGCTTCAGCTGGCCAAGCCACTGTGGCTGCTTAAAGGAGTGAACCAGTGGATGGAAGAGCTTTCTCTTTTTCTGTGTCACTCTTCTTTACAAATACAAATACAACATTTTCCTAAAGGTTTTTTTTTTTTTAATTTATTATCATTTTTGTAAGAGTTACACAAAGAGAGAGTGTTTCCACCTTTTGGTTCACTCCCTAGATGGCTGCAACATCCAGTGCTGGATTTATTTTAAAAATTCAGAGTGAAGCATTGTGCATGCAGGGTTCAGCAAATACTAGGCACAGAAAAGGTACTGGATGAAATTACTTGATGCTCTTCCTACCAGCACTACTACTTTGCAATCATGTTGTAAGATGAGAGACTGAAACTTAGGCACAGTCTGTAGCAGCTCGAGGTCCAGTAAGCTGAGGTGATCGCTGCTACTGTCACACACTTTCTGACCCCTGGATTCTGCTGAGTAGCCCCCTTCTTCTTAATATCCTTGTCTTGGCTTTCTAATTACATTCCTCCTCCTTCCTAACCTCCTTCCTGGACTCTTCCAGTTCTCCTAGCCTTCAATATGTATGCTTTCTAGATTGTATCTCTGATTTACCTTTTCGCTCAGCTCCATTCTTGCCCTTCCATATGCTGATATTATCCAATCTAATGGCTTCCATTTTGCTGTGTGACAGTGGTTATGTGGATCACGTTTCAGTGTCACCAGTGCACATCTTATGCATATTTCTTAGGTATTTTGAATTAACTATCTAAAGAAGAATTCATCGTTTTCCCCCAATTACTCTATACTTGATAGCTTGTTAAATAATGAGAAATTTCAACACTGCACCCCAAAGGGAAAGCCAGAAATAATCTTAGACTCTTATCCTCCCTGACTCCCACCCTCCCTCTATTCTATCTTCATTTCCATTCAGTCAGTGGCAAGTGATATCTTTGGAATCCACCCCCCTCCTCTCCATCCCTACCACCATACGAAATCAGAAAACTGCCATATCTCACCAGGAGCAGTGCCCCAGCCACCTGCTGGCATTTCCCATCTCTAGTCTGGCCTCCTTTCATTCCATACTTCACACTTTCCACACAATGAAGCTTCTAAAATGCATATCTAAGCATAGCACACACCTGCTTAGCAATCCTGCAGAAGCTCACTGGAGCCTTCAAAATAAAATTACCAGCACTGTGCCATCTCTTGCCATTTCTCCCTCCAGCCCAACTTCAGCATTCTGACCTTTTGGGATTACTGGAGTGGTATGGAGGGGATAAATAGAAAAACTATGATATTCAAAGACATAAGCTCAAACCTCAGTCCAGCTTCCTGTAATCTTTGGTCAATATTAAAGCACTGTCAGTTACTCAGAAGCAACAATAAGAATGATACCTCCTGTAGAGTGCTTAGATGAAGATCCAGTTAATGTATGCAATGCGAGACACTTAGCACAGTACCTTGCACAAAAATAATGGCACACATAAATGTGATTATTTTTCATGACTTGTAGATTGGTAGATATATATTTCACTGTTATGCTTCTGAGTGTTTTCCCTTGGCATTGTCTGCCTGAAGAACACAACTTCGCTAAATCAGCCTGCCCATGACCCAGTAGCTGGTGTTTGACAAACAGCTCAGACATCTTTTTCTCTCCAGAAGAATCTCCCCTGCTGAGACTCCCACCAACCACTGGTTTCTGATTGGTCCCCCTCCTCCCTGTTTCCTTAGCACTGTGCTGTACTCCTTCCAGTCCCCTTTTTGCATCCAAAAAGTTATCACTTTTTGGTCTCCTCTGTTCTTGCCTGTCTGAACTCTGAGATGCTTGCAAGCAGGAACTGAAATTTCCATCTATTTCTTGTACCTGTATATTGCTAGTCACATGATGGCATTCAGTAAATGTGGAATGAATGGACGAAGGAAGAAAAAAATAAATCTTCTTGGCATTAAAGTAAGAGAATGCATAATTGTTACTAATCATTGATGTTTAACTCCATGCATTCATGATAAAAGACTGGAGACAAGGAAAGAGGCCAGAAAATCTGAAGGAAGTTTTATAAGCACTTTCTGTTGAAGTTGGGCAGAGCTGGGTGCTCTGGGTTGCCTCTCAGAGAATCTTTAGAGAAACAAAGAAGCACTCCCATATCCTCAAAAGAGAAAAACTCAACTTGGATCACGTTGGCTGCAATTTCATAAGGATATCAGAGAAAACAATTGTGATGGTTTCAATACACATTAGCATTGTTTTAAATGTGAAATTGCAAGGCAGTGTAAGCGGTGGCTGACAGTTCTATGTGGATGCCCTATGGGCCCCTACCCAGGTTCTAAAAACAGGTCTGATTTTTCTCTGATTTGCCCCATTGGGCTATCATAATAAGCTCCTGGAGAGGGACCTCAGAATCAAATACAGATTTGCTATTTTCCAGCCATAGAATCACAAGCAAGTCATTTAACCTGTCAGAGCCTTAATTTTCTCATCTCTAAGGATAGTATAATGATAGTTACTTTGTAAAATTCTCGTGCGATTAATGAAATGGATGTGGCTGTGGCTGTGAGCACTTCATGGGCAGACCCCGTTTTAGTCAGTACTGTATTTCCAGCTCTTGAACAGATCAACAAAGAGCACACATGGTAGGGCCATCATGTGTGCAACTTTGCAAGCTACACCAACCTCAGCTGGACCAATGGGCAGACGCTATCATGAGAATGCTACAAGTATGTTTATTCCTCCCCCTAACAAGCATATATGTGCTTCCTTTGCTGTCCTGCAGCTCTGATTTGCATATGCTTTGTCTTATTGAAAGTTGGTCCCCAATGTAGCAGTGCTGAGAAGTGATGCAACCTTTAGCAGTTGATTGGATAGGTCAGCAAAATTAGTGCTGTCCTTCTGCGCACAAGACTGGAACAGCTGTGACCCAAAGAGAAGGCAGCAGATTGCTGCAAAGCAAGGCTGTCCTTGTGTTTTATTTCTTCCACATGCACCTGTTTACACGTCTGCTTTTCTACCACATTATGATGCAGCACAAGGCCCCCCACAGGACACAGACACCGATGTGGAGCAGCTTTGGGAACTACGGGACAAATACATTTCTTTTTCGTGTAAATTATTCATTTCTAGGTACTCTATTACAGAAAAAAATGGGAGACTAAAACATCTGTGATTATAAAGAAAGTGAAAAGTTGTCAGTTTTCTGTGTAGCATTTTCTCCTCTGGGCTGCTCCTTTATATACGAATAAAAACTTCTACAATGCATTTGACATTTACTTTTAAAAATGTAAGTTGGCTCCTGACTAAGGAACTATGTCAGAAGAGAATGGCCACATAATCATTTCTCCATAACAGAACACCCAAAAGTTAAATAAAATATGTTACCTCGCTTGAGAATGAGCCAAGTTTATTTGAAACAATTTTTTCAAAAATGGCTGTTTGGCTAGATTTGTAAACTACTTTTCACTGCACAAGAGTTGGGAACTGTATTTTTAATCTTAAAACTAGTCATCTTGTAGACATCTCAAAATCCACAAGAAAAGCCTCATACAATATATTTTTTATGAAGAAAGCTAGTCTTTTGCATCACAGTTTATCCTAGAGGTAAGTGGATATAATCCTATGTAAGTGCCATAAAAAGCGTATCATCTTATTTACATCTTAGGGTAAGTTTTCAAAAGAGCCCAATTCACAAAAGCAGTTTACAGATTGAATTATACTTGAGAAAATTCTCGGAACTTAAGTGCAGCAGTAACTTCTTCCTTCCAATTTTCTTTCTGGTTTCAAATTTGTCTGTTAGAAAATGGAAGAGGAAGATTCAGCTTAAAAGTGTGATGCTTTAAAAGAAAAAAAAACTTATAAGTAATTGTAAAGTTGAAATGAGGTTTTAAGTGTGGATCCTACTCCAGAATCCACACTTACAACCTCACTTAGCCATAAATAGGTGAATAGGTCCTGTTTCCAAAACAGTAAAATTTGGGATTGAGACTTCAACACACAAGTTTGTAGGAAAGCAATTCAGTCTTTGGAGTCTGTAACAAAGTCTCACACACACACACACACACACACACACACACACACACACACACACACACACACACAGAACTGGGATTCATCCTGGGTCTTCCACATCTGAAGGTGGAACTGCAGGAAAACTGTTTAACCTGTATGTTCATTTCCTTCATCTGAAAAGATAGATGACAATAGCTGTCACCTCATGACGAGTTGTGAGGATAAAGTGAGCTATCTCACAACGGACCAAATTGAATGAAGTCAATTATCATTCATTTACGCAGTAAGCAATTTTATGGCTCTCTTTTCAGTTCCCTTTGACTACGAGGAAGAGAACAGGACACATTGGGATGAGATAGTTTCATCTTTTTTTATATGTATATATAAAGAAGAATAGGGATCATCCTAGATTCTTGATCCCTTACAAGTCTAGTTATCCATCCACCTGGTATTGTAAATTGTAACACATGAACAGCTTTGGAGTGCATCGCCTTCTGTTTGTCTGTATCTTTACCATGGCTGGCCCCTGGAATACCTCCTCTGTGAGCTGTCACCTCTCTCTGGCTCCCCCAACCTCTCATGTTTCCTTTCGCTATTTATGTTTCAACCTAGTCAGAGCAATGATCTTGAATGCATGTGATCTTCCCCCTCTTACGAACATATGTTGGCCATCACTGACCTTGGGAATGAGTCTCAATGGCCCTTGTGCTGTTTCCAAGATAACACTTCATTTCATTTCTCTCCTGAGCCCAACTCCCAAACACTCATGTGTACATCTGCAGATACCAACATATTCTTACCCTCATATGCAGATGTTTGTAGACACAAATGCACACATCGCACAGATACACTTGCCTAAGTTCTGCACTGCAACAGTTTGCTTCTCTCTCATTTATTCTTTTTTTCTTAGAAAGATTTATTTATTTATTTATTTATTACTGCAAATCAGCTATAGAGAAACGTATGTCTACAGTTCAATTGCCCTGCAGAGCTTTCGGCTGCCCTATCTTGATTCCATATTCTTCCTATCAACACATTCAGATTGTGCAAAGTATCTCCTGTTGCGTCTGTGAACTGGCAACTCAAAACAGGAGTGAGCCCATTTACTCCTCCTTCTTCCCATTGTATGTCAATCATCTGCTACAGTGGATTGGCTTGGCAAATGATGAATACAAATTTGTCACATGGCACCTTACCATGTTCATTCTGCTCTCTTCACACTTAAATTCATCAATTCAGTGTCTTATATAAAAAGAAATATTTTAATTAGTTGGGTTTTTTATTATTTTCTCTCATGGAAACAATGCAGGAGGAAAATCTGATAAACAAAGTATCATAATGTGCCAAAGAACATTTTTGCAAGTCAAAAGCCACTGAGCTTTTTCTAGAAATAGTGAAATAGTTTGAATTTAGTTTTATTAAAAGATAAGAACTACTAACAGTGAGTACTAAGGTTCTGATGTGATATCCCCAAATACATAAGAGCACTGCCAGCTGGGTGAGCTCTCAAAACAGAAAGGAGACCTCAACGCCAACCAAACTGTATCAAAAACAACAACAACAACAAAGAAAACAGCATCATCAGGTCACAAACTTCACCTTCATACAGGGATCTGTGTAGTTCCCCCAGGAGTGGGTTAGTTCTTTTGAAACTGGCTTAGTCCCCGTAGGAATTGCTTCACCATCTCAAGAGTCGATTGCTACCTAGGGCCGGACACCTTCCCTGGGTCTCTCCCACATGTATCCTCTCTCGCATAATTGTCTGCTTGCCCTTTGGTCCTTGCCCAACCGGCTAAAGCAGCAGCAAGCTCTCACCAGAAACCAACAAGAGGATGGCAACTCACTCTCCTTGGGAATCATGAGCCAAAGTAGATCTCTTTTTGTTATAAACTACTCAGCCTTAGGGATCATGTTACAGCATCAGAAAACAAAGGAAGACAGTGAGCAAGAGTTCATTTCATAGCCCAACATTTTCTGCGTAAAAAAGAAATTAGCATTCAGTGAATAGGATGGTGCAAACTAATTGAACCTCTCTGGAAAGGTGTGACAGTTTATGTTGTTAAGATTTTTACGCCATTTGTTCTGGTAGTTTTGTTTCTTGACATGTCTCTCTAAGGTAGCAAGCAAATAACCTCACAAAGATGACATATAAGTCCAGATCACCTAGGCAAAGTAGCACAGCTGTGCTTTACCATGAGTCACCCCAACACCTCCACAGTCTGCATACTCAGAACTACTAAAAATGGAGGTTATGTGTTTGGTTCACCCAGAAAGTCTATGGAGCCCAAATACAATTCCCCCAGTTCTAACAGAGTTGCTCTAACAGAGTTGGGGAATGGTGAATGTAGGTGGAACATTCTCGGACCCCTGGAATATAGCATGAATCTCGGCTGCCCTGCCAAGCTTCACGCTTTCTGCTTGACTCTTATGTTTAGGAGAAACTGAGATGGTCCCAGGGCCAACAGACAGGGCAGAGGCAAAGGCAACCTCTGTTCTCCATTCAGTGAGTAGCCAAGAGCCATACGGAGCCAGAAAAACTGGGAGAGAGATACACACTGAATCCAGTAGAGATGGATGTTCTATATTCATTGTGACATAGTTTATGAACAGCAGCTTTTTATATAATTCAAGTTTTCATACAAAAGGGATTGGTTAATTAAATTTTGATACATTCAAAAGTATATAAAAATCAGGTTAATATTTTAAGCATATATTATTACGTAAAGAGAGTATGACTGTGACAGCTATTAGAAAGAAAGGCTACCAAAATTCAAAATATTGATCACCATTTTTGTGATGATAATATTTCAAATGACTGTTTAGTTTTCTTCCGAGCATCTTCATAAAAACTGACAATTTTATATTATTTTATAATCTGAAATATTGCAAAAGTGTTTTACATTTTGGAGCATCTTAAAGAGAGGAACTTAAGTTTCAACTCATACATCATCCCTCTTCAAGACCTCCTCAGATAAAATACCTCTTTTGCAAATTATTGTGATTCTTAAAATGCATTTCCTTCTTCACCACCTCAACAGAATTCACAGAATATTTTCAATAATTGCAAGGAAAAAAAATTAGTTTGCTTAGGTAAAGCATGAACGATTTCATTTTAAATCCTTAATGTACAAATTTACTGTTTGATATGACAGGAACAAATCATGCTTGAAAATAATATTCAGTAACAATGAGAATGGTACAATAAAAATGATATTTGAAAGCACTGGAGTTGAAGACATGGAAATCGTGGTGGTTTAATTGATTTCTATGCTCTGAAGCTGGCTATGCCTCTATAATGCTATCAGCTTTCAAGCACAGGAAGTGGTACATACACCATTGTACTGAAATGCAAACTTAGCGGAAGTGAGAGGCAAATGAGAATGGCTGGAATTGAGACCCAGACCTGCCTTCTAGAGTGGAGACCGGAAGACAGTCTGCTACCTAGGACGTTCTAGGGATCCCTGTCAGGACATGGTGGTATGATTATTGGAGAATCTCCCCTATTGACACGTTCACATCTACTTCAGCAAGAATCTGCAGAACCCCTCTCAGGAGCAATCCTGTTCCTCCCGCTGCTACTTCTGAGGTCTTCTCAGTCAGTCCTGCTGAGATATGACCATCATAGTCACAGTCTGAGCAGTTAGTCACTAGTGCTGTGGAACCACACGGTGGGGAAAGGATGCAAGGTAGCTCCCATCAACCAGGGAAAATACTCCGGGATAGGATGCTAACAGCAGTGGCTGGACCACCCTAAACAGCTGGAGACATGATGCACGTCTGGTAAAGGTACCCCAGGTGAATCATCAATAAATGTTAGAGACCTTTTCTTCAAGTTTGATATTATACCTAAATGTGTATGCTGAATTCAAGATTCAATAGTACATCCAGAGAAATTGGGATACCAGCTCACTCTTACCATATAAAAGAATTCTGGCAAATTGAGATTCAAGGTAGACTGAAGTCCCACCATTTAAGTAGGTGAGATGACATGGTAATTAAGAAAAGCAGTTTATATGGTAATAGAAAGTATAGTGAAGTGGGTGTGTTGGAGTCAAATTATAATATAAGCTGGAAAGAACCACCAGCTGATTCCTTTGTAAAATCCCTGAATGGCAATCTATTAATCAAGACCGTAAGAATGCCAAGGGAAAAGAGAGAGAGCTAGAGGGAGAGAAAAAGAGAGAGAGATCTTAATCATTGGCAAGCTGAGTGGTGGCTGTTCTTTACAGACTGATATAAGACATATTGGTACAGAACTAGACTTCTTAGTAGCAATGGGAAGGATACCTCTCAGAATAGAAGTCACACAACAGTAACCATCGGAGACATGTGTTTACATACTGGTAAGGTCAGAAAGGCAGCCAGGGGTGCTTGAGCTTTATGAATCTGTGGAGATGCCTCATAAAACACGATGTTCTGGGGCCCAGCGTGATAGTGTAGCCATTAAAGTCCTCTCCTTGAAAGTGCCAGGATCCCATACGGGCACCAGTTCTAATCCTGGTGGCTCGGCTCCCCATCCAGCTCCCTGATCCCCTGGAATAGTGAACACCACAGTACTTCAGCAAACATTAATTGCCAATCTTCCCACAAAGATGTGTGTGTGGTGAGACTACCCAGATCCATTTGACAGATCTGAGCTGATACTACCATTGTGAAATTCTTAGTCCCATTGTGAACCTCTTCCCATCTCATAGTAGTAGTGAGTGTAGGTCACCTTAATTTTATCACACTGTTGGGTCACTGGGCCCACAGATCCACCCAACAATCATTTCCCCAATTCT